AAAGAATGCGAAATGAATAAACAAATACCGATGAGTCAAGGAGTGATACATATGACTGTAACATACCTCCCCACCGACAGAAATGTGTGTCCACGCACATGAAAACGAACATCAGCAAAAGTGAAACAAACTGATTAGAAGACAAGTGGAAGAAAAAAAATGCAGCAATATAATGATGCAGAAGAAAGAGAGAAAAAATTTGATAGAATCAGAATATATAATCGAGAGCAAAAATATGTATGTGCACAAAATGATAATACGAAAAAAAACGATAATATAGTAGTGTTACTACAAATAAAAGAGGAAGGAATAAAACGAAGTTGGTTGTAAGTACCTTTAAAATTTGAGAGGTGGTAAAGCAGGTGAAGATGCATAACGTATAGCAGGTGGTTGAGTAGTTTGTTCTAAGGTGTCGAGACGACGAAGGGTACTCATAAGTATGTTCCCCATCGGATGAAGTTGATTAAGGCCAGATGCTTCAATTGCTTGAAGAGCGAGAGGTTGACGATGACGTATAGATCGACGAAGGCGGCGATATATGAAGAATACAATTGCGAGGAGAATAATGATGACGATACCAATCGTAACAGCACTTCTAATGAATATGTTGGTTGTCTGATCACGATGAGTACTGTGAGACTGTTCTAAGACGGATATGCGTTAGTGAATTTCAGCATTAAGAAATCGTTTGACTCGATTTTTAGGAAGAGTCGCAAGGCATGAAAAAATAAGGTTGAAGAAAATAGCAATGAAATGGAGCATGTTAATTAGTAAAAAATGAGGATATATAGAAGTGAGAAATAGATGATGGATGAAGAAATGTGTGAAGAGATATAAGGCAATGACGAAGGGAGGCGTTCGACAAAAATGGCAGAGGTGAAGAATGCAGATAACAATAGTAGGAAAGTGTATGATGAGTGACGGAATGTATATATATGAAAAAAAACATACTGAATGTATTTGATAGCATGTATTGAACGGTTGAAAATGAAACATAAGTAATGGATCGTTGATAGATCACTATCTAATTGAGACCGGAATAAGTACATCGACTGTTACTTGTCTTGTCAAAGCAAGTAGTTTCACATGCTGAACAAGATATGTTTTAACACCAAGACGACGTATNGAATGCTACAGTGATAAAATATCATAAAAATAAAAAAGAGTGAAAGAGAACATTAGGTCAAATAATCAAATCGTCGAATTATAAAGGAGTCCTTTCTCCGCTGATACTTGATTACGTTGCTTCATAAAACAGAGCAGTAAACAAAGCTAGAAAGTTAGCATTCAAGTGGTATCAACTGCCACTAAGGATGTAGCTGAAGGGTAAGCGTTTCCAAAAATTGTTAAGTGCGGTATTGAATTACAATTGAGAAATATCGCTTACTGCTAATCGAAACACGATTTAAAATGAGATAAAACTTGTTGAGAAATACATCATTTTATTCACTTTGATAGTTAGCGATATTTGTAAATGTCTATGATAGGAAGATGATATACATCATAAAAATGTGTGTTATTCATTAGTCTTATCTAAATTTTGAGTTGAATTCAATTATATTAGAAGTCCCTGTGCTTCTTCTCGTAGTTCGGTTTTATTTCGAATCATCATTCAAGATAGAGAGCATCGCGATGAGAGAAAAAAAGAATCAAAGAATGTAAACAAAGAGAACAAAAACAGAACAGAGACAATAAACGAATGCCAAGAACGAACAGAGACAAAACAAACAGTAACAGCTGAAGCGATGTGAGGGTATGTGAACAACATGCCTGTAACATACCTCCCCCACAACCAGAAAATGTGTGCCCACATACATTAAAAGAAACACAAAAAAGTGAAAGAATCGGATTAAGATGATAAGCGAAAATATGTGTGATGATATGAAGAAAAGATGCGGCAGTATAATGATGCAGTAGAAAGTGATAACGAATCAAAAAAACGAAAGAAATGGATAGAATCGGAATATATAATCGAGAACAAAAGTATGTCAGCGCAGAAAATGATAATATGAAAAAACACTAGTATAGTGAGATTATTAAAAATGAAAGAAGAAACAAATAAGAACGAGGATTGTAAGTACCTTTAGAATTTTAGCGGTGGTAAAGCAAGTGGAGATGCATAGCGTACATGCGGTGGTTTAGCAGCCTGTTCTAAATTGTCGAGGCGACGAAGGGTACTCATAAGTACGTTGCCCATCGGATGAAGTTGACTAAGACTAGATGCATCAAGTGCTTGAAGAGCGAGAGGTTGACGATGACGTATAGATCGACGAAGGCGGCGATATACGAAGAATACAAGGACTAGGATAATAATAATGACGATACCAAGAACACAGCACTTCCAATGAACATGTTGTGTGTCTGATCACGATGAGTGCTGTGTGACTGTTCTAAGACGTTGATGGGGGTGTGAACTGCACCATTAAGGAATCGTTTGACATGATTTTTGGGAAGAATCGAAACGCATGAAAAAATACGAGTGAGAAAAATGATGATGAAATAAAACATATTTAGGAGGAACTGAAGATTGTTTAGAAATGAGAAAGAATGAGGGATGAAAAAAAAGTGTGAAGAGATATAAGGCAATGATGAAGGGAGGCGTGCGAAAAAATGGCAGAGATGAAGAATGCAGATAACAAGAGTATGAAATGGTATGATGAGCGATAGAATGTATTTAAAAAGACAGACAGAGTGCATTTCATGGTATATAGTGAACGGTTGAAAATTAAAAGCAAGTAATGGATCGCTGAAATAACTATCCAGTTGAGACCGGAATAAGTAGATCAACTGTTACCTGTCGAGTCAAATCAAGTAGTTTGACATGTTGAGCAAGATATGTTTTAACACCAAGACGACGTATAATTCGAAATGGACCATCATAGCGAATATCAAATTTGTGACGTGAATGAATATTTTTTATAAGAACTAAATCGTTCATGGAATATGTAGGATTTGAGCGATTTGTATCACATTTAGATTGGTACTGACGTTGTGCATCAGTTATATTTGTTTTCGCATTGTTGGTTAGATGTGATATATATTGACGTATGTTTTGAGCATAGTGAGGTGACTGTTGAAAGGAAACGATTGAGTTTTGAAGATCAAATGGTAGAACAGGTGAACGTCCATACATAAGTTCGAAGAGAATAGTTTTTGTAGTGGAAGGGTGTGGATGTCAAGATGTTTCGAAGAAAAATACTCACACACCACACCCACACCCTTTACTGACTGCATTCTTTTACACAGAAGAAACATTGTAGTAATAAAAACAACGTTTTGGCGTCCTTTTCTGTTTTTTCACTAGCAGAGTATTTTTTTTCTGTTGCTTTCTCTCGCTCTCAATACCTACACTTTCAAAAATAAATCCGACCAAATTGTATGTTAGCAAAAAACAGCAGGTATGATATATAAAGGAATAGTTATTCGCTTCTGAACAATATTTGTTTCTTTATTATAACATAATCTGACGACGAATACAAGCAATATTAGATTTCCTACGTACCTTTACAATACATGAACATACAAAGGTCAAATGATATGCTTATTTCTTCGGAAAAAGATGCTTTAACAACAGAATCATCACACCCTGTTTCACCAGAACAACTTGGAAATATAATCACGAGAAGACGTCTACCTGCATATCTTCGTATCGTGCAAAATATTCCTATCATTTGGCTGAACACAAACATATATGAAGCGCACGACGGTTTTCGTCATTCAATCGTTCAGCTACAACGTATTGTCAATGACATAACTGTATTCAACGATGCTGACCAATTCGTCGATTTTCTCACTGAAATTAAGCACGAAAAGACATTCATGATTGTGTCCAACGATGTCGGTCAACATGTAGTACCTCTCATTCATGATGCACCTCAACTCGATGCAATCTATATAATTTCTGATGCAAAGACAATACAGAGAGAGTGGACAAAAAATTGGTCGAAAGTGAGGAGTATTTTTACAGAAATTCAACCCGTTTGTGAATCGCTTGAACGGGCAGCAGTAATATGTGACCAAAACTCTATCTCAATTAACATTATTTCACTTAGTGATGCATTGCATCAAAATTTGGATCAACTCGACCAATCGTTTATGTATACACAACTACTCAAAGAAATCTTACTGGAATTCCTCTATAGTGAACGATCCCTCGAAGTCTTGGTCGATCATTGCCGCGACCAGTACGCCGACAACGATTTTGAGTTGAAGAAAATCGATGAATTTTTTAGAGACTACCGTCTCGAATCTCCCATTTTCTGGTATACTTACGCGATGTTCATCTATTCTATGCTTAGCCGAGCTTTGCGCACTCAAGAAGTTGGTTCAATCATTGCAATGGGTGTTTTTGTTAGAGATCTGCATGAAAATATTAAACAGCTTCATTCCGAGCAGTCGAATGGTCACCAGACAGGATCCTTTGCTGTCTACCGAGGTCAAGGCGTGTCCAATTATGATTTCGAGAAGATCAAGAGAAGTGAAGGTGATCTTCTTTCCTTCAATAGTTTCTTGTCAACGAGCATCGATCACGATGTATCTTTTGCTTTTGCTGATAGCAATAGAGGTAATCCTGACTTAATTGGGATTCTCTTTCACATTACTATTGATCCATCAGTATCATCGGTTCCTTTCACCTTTCTTGACAATGCCAGTAATTTCACTTCAGAAAAAGAGATTCTATTCTCAATGCATTCTGTCTCTCGAATTGGTGAAATCAAACAAATCGACGATGACGATAGGTTCTGGCAGATAGAACTCACACTGACAAAAGACAATGACCAGCAGCTATGTGCTTTAACTGAACGAATACGAAAAGAGACTCAGTCTGAACCAAAGCCACATCAACTAGGCCAATTGTTGATCAAACTAGGCGAATTTAACAAAGCCAAACAACTATACAAAGCACTGCTCGATCGGATGCCTGATGAGATTTAGAAAGCGATTCTGTATCATCAGCTTGGACAGATCCATTATTCCCAAGGTGATTTTGTGAATGCTATTTCATTTCACGAACAATCACTTCAAAAAAAGCAACAAACATTCTCCACAGATCATCCAAGTTTGGCTGATTCCTATAACAGTATTGGTGCAGTTTATGACGACATGAGGGAGTACTCGAAAGCACTTTCATTTTTCAAAAAAGCACTTGAAATCTGTAAAAGAACACAACCTCCAGATCATCCAGATCTGGATAAATTTTACAATAACATGGGTGGTGTGTTTGATAAAATGGGCAAATACTCGAAAGCACTTGAGTTTCTCGAAAAAGCACTTGAAATGCGTCAAAGAACACTACCCCAAAATCATCCTGATTTGGCTCAATCCTTTAACAATATTGGCGGACTGTATCACAATATGGGCGAGTACTCAAAAGCGATCGCGTCTCATCAAACAGTACTTGAAATCAATGAAAAAACACTTCTGTCAAATCATCCATCATTGGCTATTTCTTATAACAATATGGGTACAGTGTATTATGAGATGAAAGAATATAAGAAAGCAGTTGGGTACTACGGGCAAGCATGCAAAATCTACCAACAGGTATCTCCTCCAGATCATCCCTTTCTGACAACTTCGTATAGCAATATTGGTTCGGCGCTTGATTGCATGGGTATGTACTCACAAGCAATTTCGTTCCACGAAAAAGCTCTTGCAATTGATCAAAAAGCACTCCCTCCATATCATCCATCGTTGGCTGCGAACTATAACAGCATCAGTGCAGTATATTCTAGCATGGGAAAGTACTCAAAAGCACTTTTTTATTCGGAAAAAGCACTTGAAATGTATCAAAAAGAACTCTCTCCAAATCATCCACTACTGGTTACTGCCTACAACCACATTGGTTTCATCTATAATAAAATGGGTGAATACTCGAAATCACTTTCGTTTTATGCGCGTGGTATTGAAGTTGCACAACATTCACTACCATCACATCATCATAATCTCCAAAATCTGCAAGAAAACATTTATTCAGTGAAAAATAAACTTTGAATAATTCATTCCGAACACAAACCTTCATTCAAATAGACCTTCCAGTTAGCGTGTGAGTGGTTGTGTGTGTGGATGTTCGTGTGGGTGCGACTGTGGACGTGAGCGGGGGTATGAGCATGGGAGTGGACGTGGGCTTGAGTCTGGAGCTGAGCGTGGGTGCGCTTATGGGGTGTGGCAGGGTTGTGCCGAAGAAAAAAAGTGGGGGGTCCATGCAAATTTTTTGAATTTTGAAAAGATAAATGTACTATTTTTTGAAAAGTGGGGAAGCCAGAGCCTTTTTTTAACATTTTCCCTGCTTTTTGAGATCTATTTTTAAGAAAAACTACGATTTTAGCTGTAAAAAAAAAGAAAATTTTCTAAAAGTGAGGGTGTGGGGTGTGGGTATTCTTCTTATAATCTACGCCCACACCCACACCCACACCCACACCCACACCCACACCCACACCCACACCCACACTCGCACCCACACCCACACCCACACCCACACCCACACGCT